CTCTGACTTTTGAGTGGCATCTTGTTAAATCTGAGCACAGTTCGAGACACTGACTACGTTTACATGGACATCAGTAATCTAATTATTTACCTTATTCTAAATAAGCCAATATTATGATTATGGTGTTTACATGAGTTGCTTTTAGAATATTCCTTTCATGTTCCCATTTTACATGTTATAGTACATAGTTCGATTAATGGCACACGTCATTACGTCCCCACGTGACGCCATCCGACGTCCCCTCCGGAATTTCACGTATAAACATATAGTTTGTCTTCGTGATGATGCCATGTACTGTTTTGGGTGTTTCGTTTTTAATTGTATGAAAGCTTCAACTGCAGATAATTATTTGTAAGTGCATACAGACGACGGCGGGTGTATACTGATTGTTGAGATCCTGTCTGAAACTCTACAGAAAACGTGATAATTGGGAGGTATTTCTCAGGGGAAAACAATTTTGGCCAAAACAAACAATAATTATAATTAATTATATATTATATCATTATCATAGAATATATAATTATAATTAATATAATAATAAGTATAATAACTAATATAATAATATTTGTATATATGTATGGGATAATGCATGACTAGCTGTGCATTAAACAATTTTAACTCACGACATGGAAGGTGGTTGTCTCTGCGGAGAGCATTAAAATTGTTTAATGCACAGCTAGCTGTGCATTATACCGCTTATACCATGGTTATTTTCCAGCATTGACATGTTAAAGCTGTTAATTATGTTTGTAGAGCAATATTTGACCGGAAGGGTAAAAATGATGGTTATTTTCATCAGGTATGCTTCAAATCAGACACACAGATGAAATAGTGCGGTAAGATCACATTCATTTGAATGAATAAATTATAATATTTATTTGAATTAATTATTGATCGATCGATCGAACGATCGAGAGAGAGAAAGAGAGAGAGAGATGACAGTTGTTGAGTGAATTATCTGCGTCTGTGCGTCTTTGTCTACAAACAATGATGCTGAGTTTAGTTACTTAAACAGTTACACCTCGTTGCTTAGGAATATAATGCAGCGATCCAGTATCTAAACTATTTTATTAATAAAAGTGGCAGGGCAGCACTGACAACAAGTTTCTGCGCTCGTGAATGTTTCTGTGTGTGTTTGTGTGTGTGTCAATGAAAGCAGCACATTAATACAGAACGGTGTCGGTGATTAAACTGACTTGGAGCTACCTGTGCATTATACAGTTTTAATGCATACCTGCCAGCCAATCAGAATCGAGTATTCAGACAGACAATGGTATAAGAGAAAAATAAAGTTTATAAGTCAGAATGCATTAAATGTATTGCTCGTGTTCACATTGGTATAATTCCCTTCTAAGCAGTTAGCATTTAACTAGTCTTTAACTAGTCTAGCTCACAGTCTGTTTACTGACCATCTGTTGAAAATCATACATAAAACCAGAAAACACATCTTGATCTGGAAAACTTCACTTTATCTAACTTCTGGGAGGAAGAGCACACAGGTTTCATTTATAAGTCCTCCTGGAAACCCAATCATGTTTACAAGGTTTTGAGGATGATATTATCACTGAATAGGCAACATTTTCCAGGTTAGGAGCATCTAATCTTGATGGGTTTTGATTGAGGCACTTAGTAGCAACTGTAAAATGTGAATGAGCAAACCTGCATATTCCATGCATGTGAAATAAGTTAGTTAATGAAAATACAGCCGTTCATTGTTAGTTCATGTTAATTCACAGTGCATTAACTAATGTTAACAAGCACAACTTTAGATTTTAATAATGCATTAGTAAATGTTGAAATTAACATGTACTAAATTTATTAAATGCTGTAGAAGTATTGTTCATTCTCCGTTCATGTTAACTAAAGTAGTTAACTAATGTCAACTAATGAACCTTATTGTAAAGTGTTACTATAAACTTTTGTTTAATGTTTTTGTTTTCTGTTGTGCATTTAGTTAATTTCTCCATAATGATCTATTACTGTGGTATACTTCTATTTCATATAAACTTGCCCCTAAACAAATGTCCTATAAGTCAGCTGGTCTCTCTCTGTCTAAGTGGGCGGTTCTTGTCCAAAATAAGATGTATAATGTGCACCAGACTTTACATCAAAAACCTGCCTGAGCAAAACTGGTATTTAATTTTATGTAAGAATCGGACCCTCTCACCGTGGGCTCTAGTGTCCTTCTGCCCCGCTCTGACCCTGGATAAGGTGTTTCTCATTATTGCACAACTAGGCTGTTCATTAGTGGAGGCTGTAATAAATTATCCAGCGGTGGACTGCCACGCGGTGACTGCGGCCCATAATTCTTACTAACACCACGGCGCTCCTGTGTCCCGTGTGATCGCCTGACACTCATGTGCTGCCCCGTTTCCATGCACACAGAGTCACGAAACCTACCCTCGCTATGTAGTCGCTTCATCAAAATTAAATGGATGCTGAAAATACACCTGAGCAATTCAATCACCAGCAGTTTACATGGAAAAATCAGGGTTCTGATCTACTGGGTCAAAGACAGTTGAAAAATGTATGGAAAAAAATGGATGAATAAACGAAAGATAAAATGCAACTAATATTTGTGCATAGTTCGGATAGCAAAATAAATTATTACCGTTAAAAAAGGTAATTGCAACTTTTTATCACATTATTCAGACTTTCTTCTTGCAATTATGAGTTGATATCACACAATTCAGACTTTTTTCTCAGATTGTGAGATATAAACTCGCAATCCTGACTTTTTTCTCATAATTCTGAGTTTACATCTCACAATTCTGTTTTTTTTTTTCCCGCCATGTAATAAAAAAAATAAAAAAGGTAATTGTGACTTTATCTCACAATTCTGACTTTTCTTCTCAGAATTTTAATTTTATATCTTGTCATTCTAAGTTTGTTTTGCAATTCAGACATTTTTCCCAGAATTCTGAGATAAAAAGCTGCAAATAAACATTTTATTTCATTTTTTTTTATTCTGTGGCAAAAATGTGTTTCCACAGAAAACACTTTCTGTGTCTTTTGTTGTCAATGTCAAAGGTGTCCAATAAAACTCTTTTCATTTATTTTATAATATTATTAATAATTTTAAAACATTAACTATTGTAATTATTTATATTTTATTTAATATTTTTATATTTAAAACGATTTTATTAAAAAAATAATAAAATAATTAATTATTTTATATTAATTCAATATCTGATTTTAAAGACATTTTTGTTTTCTTTTTTATGATAAAAAAAGAGAGAACTATAAGATCCAGCATTAAAGTAAACAGTGACTAGGAGGAAACTCCACTGCGGGTGAGCAGTTGAGATTCTCCAAAAATAGACAGTTTGGAAGTGATTAAACAGTATTACAGCTTTCAGTAGACAGTAAAACTGAAAAGAGCTTGACGCTTGCATTAGTGTCTCTTAACGGAGGTGTGATTCAGACACTTGAGCGTTAGCACACCCAATCTATCACAGCAACAGGAAAACGCAGTATTCATCATGAATACATGGCAGGTCATAAACTAAAGAGACCCACCTATGATAATACAGGGGTTCCACAAAACTCCATCAAACTCTATTTAGCAGCATCACCATAAAGCACATCACGTGTCCTGTGAAAAAACACCATATGCTGTGCATCTTAAAAAAAGAGCACACCAATGACTCAGCAGCACTGCTATTTAATCTTTCAACATGACATAACAAATAACCCGAGAGAAATTCCACAGTCTACCCTGCTGCCTCAGTCACATAATACCATGCCAACAGACGAATAAATTAATAATTTTGATCCAAGCTTTACAGTATACAAGGGAGTAGCCTGCAGTCTATTTGGAAGTGTTTGCAATCCGATACTGAAATGCAATATTACCTGCTCAACAAACGTGCCAACCAACTCAGCCAGATGGGATATAGGTAGGAAGCTACATATGGGACTGGTTCTGTGTAAGAATCTCGCACATTCCAGTCCAAATCTTTTAAAAAGACATTTACAAGAGGAGACAGCAGTGGTGTGGTGTGCATTTGTTCCAGCACAGAAAAGATGGGGAAAAGACAATGCACCTGAACCAGAACCGAGAGCAAATTTATAGACTTGAGAATTTATAATTACATACATATACATATAGCATACGAGACTTCTTAGCAAGATATAAGACTTAAAGAGACCACACAAATGGCCATAATAAGACCCCAGAGTGGAGAAAACAGTCCCGGGATTCTCTTCTAACTGTATCCAGATTTCATCCCTTCCAGACAGGAAAACAGCTCTTTCAGGAGCACACTTACTGTCAGTCTCATAATCAATCATCAGCTCAGTCAGCTGGGAAAAGCTTGTCAAATAAGCAAAGGAATACACTTAATGAAGTATTCTGAGGTACATTTTCAACCTGTTTGTACGAGATTGAGGAAAGCCAGGCAGTTAAGCAGCTTTTATTTTCCTTTCATTTTTGGGGATCAACCATCTTTCAACAGATCCAACAATAACTGATGCATATTTATGCGGTTTTATCAAGGAAAAGGACATTTTAAAGGAAAGGGGAAATTTAGAAGAACAAAAAGAATCAAAGTCCAAGAACTTATACGTTATATTTAATAAGGTTACACATAACCATATTTAAAAAAAAAATTAATTTTAATTGAATCGAATATTCTGTGGCAAATGACAAATTATTTCTGATTTTTTTTTAGGGCTTAGCAGCAACACTTAAAGCAAGAACATTATATTACATATTAATAGCTATAAGTTACAATACATACACTTTTTTTATTATCGAAAATAAATCTGACTTGAAAAAAAAAACATGCATTTTTTGTAATAAGCGCCACAGTAAGAAAGGTTCTGCCGACATAAATACATAGGCTACATATACAAATTATGTCTGTGTTTGTGTGTGTGTAAACGTAGTAATCATGCTAAAAGTTCAAACACGCAAACTTTAGACCACTGCCTTACTATAACATGATGCAAATTAAATATCTAAAGACATTAAAGAAAAGAAAAGAAAAGAAACCTACCTTTTCTGTCCTGATCGACCTCTCCTGTCATGGACTTGAGTGAAATTAATTAAGAAACGGACAAGTGAAAATAATCCACAGATAATGAAAACGTATTCCTTAAAATGTTTCCTCTGGCCCTCTCCCTGTAGTGATGATGCATAATTCTGAACATCCACGTTTTTCACATAAAATAGTGTCCAGGGCGTCCAGATAGCCCAGGGTTGTCTTGACTGACCCAGATGCGCCTTAAACGCACGATCGGACGCGTTCAGCTCCCCAGGACGCGCTCTCTGCTCTAAACGCAGGAGCCCTGCCAAAATCAAGTCCCATAAACACATGAGAGTTTTGAACCCCTGAGGTGTCAAATTCCAGCCCCTATCACATGTTACGCTACAAGCCAGCGACGCGACGCGACAAACTCCAGCGCTCCCCTGATAATCCACGACGCAAGGGAACGCGCCGCGCTCCACTGATTATAATGTGAGCCTTCTGATTGGTCGATTGGGTGCCTACGCCACTCGCGTCGCTGATTATAATGGGTTCTAGTCTGTCGCGTCGCCAGCAGTGTAGATGAGTGAAAGACGCAAGATCAGGTAACGCGCTCACCTGGGAGAGACACTGGAGTAATTGAGCTCTATTCTATTCTACAGGTTCACTTGATAAAATAAGTAGATTTGTACAGTTACAGAAGGAAATGTGAGTGGCTGCCACAAAGATTTCCTACTGTTCTGCAATGCATTTGCTGTGTATTTGAGTGGTCAGATATGTTATATGCAGTTGCCGGAGTTACTTTAGTTGGTTGCAAGATAAATGCTTACTACTCTTAGTCAAAAACAGCCAACTCACAATTTAGATAAAAAATCCTGGTCCCTACATACTCTATTTTTTTTTATTTGAAAGCTTATTTGTCCTTATGTGTCACATTTTAATAATTAGGCTTAGAGAGTTTGTTCAAATCAAATGTGCACCAAATATGTGCAAAACACTTGTAGTTCAAAGTGCTTGACAAACAAGATTTTAATATTTTTTGGGACATTGTAAAATCCTTGATGATTTTTATTCAAATGTATTATATGTTTACATAAGTTTTTAATATATATATATATATATATATGTATATTAAATGCTTTTAAAAATACATTTATATTTTTCAAGTATATTTTCGAAATATGGTCAAAAATATAAAGGTAGAAAATATATTAATGTAAATATGTTTTGAAACATATTTTAGCAAATATTTTTAGACTTTTTTTGCACATTATATTTTGAAACACACACACACATATATATATATATATAATATATGTATTTTTTATCAAATAAATGCAGCCTTGTTGAGCACAAGAAACTCCTGTAAAAACATTAAAAATCGTTCTGATCCCAACTTTTGACCGGTAGTGTATATATATAGTAATTACTATAATTAATAGTAATTATAGTCTTTAATAGGCCTATAAGGTTTAAGATTACATAAAGGTCTTAGGTTTCACACCCATTCATTTTGAACAAATAAATAAAGTATATTTCAATTTGGCACATTGTCATAGCAAAGTTAGGCAGCCAAAGATCACCGAAAATGAAAGAGAAAATTAAAACCAGTTCAATTCAATTCAAGTTTATTTGTATAGCGCTTTTCACGATACAAATCGTTGCAAAGCAGCTTTACAGAAAATTAAGTTTCTACAATATATTTAGTAGTAGCTTGTCAGTGGTGACTATATCAATCAGCGGCATATTAAATAAACATTAATGAGACATTCTGATTTAAAGGTCAAATACCAAAGCTTTCTGGCTCAATCAGAAACTGCTCTCTTATCTGTGATTGCGTCACTTCATGGCTGTAATAGAAATCAGTGTGTTTGATATCAACACCAGATTTCAGACTAATAGAATAACTGACAGGTAAGCAAACAACACACTTTCCCACAATACTGAGGTGGGATTTCTGAACGGCTGAGTTTATCAAGATTGGCTGCAGCTCAAGCACTTCTGCGCTGCTTTCTGAGCTGCTCTCAGACGGTGTGTGTGTGTGTGTGTGTGTGTGTGTGTGTGAGAGAGTGAGTGTCTGTGTGTGTGTGAGAGAGTGAGTGTGTGTGTGTTTTTTTTTTTTCAATTAAATTCAAGTTTATTTGTATAGACGTTT